ACAGCGGCCGGTTGCTGTGTTTCTTCCTGCACCAAGCAAACACGGCATTACGTGACACATCTCATCTTGTTCCCAGGCAAGGAAAATACAAACCTTGGGTCCAAATTTCCGCATAATATGCATATATATATATATATATTCCTTTGATAAATTATCTCTAGCAAACACCCAGCACGCTTATTTTCCACGTGCTCGCTGTCTTGGACCATCTTGAGCCAAGCTTGGGCAAAAACATATACAGGGGGTGAAATTTCAACACCCCTCCTTCAACCCTAGTGATAACTTAACTACACTTTCGTTGGTTCTAAATTCTTTGCTCCACTGGCCTTTCCTTCACGGAACTCTTGGCACAGTGTTCTCCTGTGTTTTTCACATGTTTCTCTACTCACAGGTTTTGTGCATAGGTCAGCTAGATTTTGTTTTGTATTCACGGATTTTGCGGTCAAGTCATTGTTCGCCACGCGTTCTTGTACCCAAAAGTATCGGGTTTGTACGTGACGTAATTTGCCTAGACCGCGTCTTGCAGCTGTACCTCTTGCTGCTGACGAATCGGTCAGCACGATTAGGTCGTATTTCTGACCCCAGTCTGCCATCAGCGATTTCAGACCTAGTCCTAGTGCAGCACCGCGGGTAAGTGCATAAAACTCACTCTCTCCACATAGCGCAATGGTTGATTGCAAGTTTGATCCGTGTTTGCCATGTTTCACGCAATGTATTCCAATGGATATAGTGATATAGTGATATAGTCTAGTGTATCCAGTTGTGCTTCGCCAGGTCAGTAGGCATCCGGCATGGTCGCTGTCTGCGTGTACTTTGATCAGATTCGTAGGTCGTTGGGTAGTACACGTTGACTACTCTTGGTCGTCCTACCAAGTATCGTCCCAATCTTTTCAAGTCTTTCATGTCGCTTTCATTCGGCGCTTTCATCTTTCTCGTCAAGACTTTTCACAGCTTCACTCAGGTCTGCTCTCTTGAGCTAGGAATTAGGCTCCCACTACCAAACTCCTGTAGAGCGTGGTCTGCTCTGCCGTCACTGGTGGGATTCCAACCGATGCCAGCACTTCAGACCTTTTCTTCTTCCCCGCTGGTGTAGTGAAACTCTTTGCATTTTGCAGATTCAATTGTCTTATGATCATCTCAGCATGTCTTGGATCTGCTTCGTAGGTTACTCGTCCAGTTTCTTGTTCGTATGACACAATCCTATTTAGGATCGTCAGATGTTTTCCGGAACCTTTTCCGATTTCTCCATCACATCTGTATTCGTACTTTTCCTTCAATACTTGTTGCATGTACTCTTGCCCCCCTGGTCAGCTAGTACCAGGAAGTCATCTCCGTGCACCAGTAGTTTGATATCCAGCTCATCGTGTCTGAAGACACTTGTCCAGGCCTGTCCCTGGTGGGAGTGTTTCCTTTTCAGATGGTTGGAATAATCTTCCTGCCACACGTGGCTCGCATCTTGAGTCCCGTACATGGTTTTCTTGAGTATTGCGCAGTATCCTTCCTGCCCGGCTCCAGGTGGCAATGTGACGTATCTTTCTCTCTGAGCCCTTCCATAGACATGAGCTCTTGATATATCGTATAATGCCAGCCTCAGATCTTTTCCTTTCTTGTTCTTCTTCCTTGTTGCCAATTCTGAGCATAGGATCTGAACCGCTTCTAACGGAGGCACGTTGCTGAACAACATATGTCCAGGCAATGCTCCATGTTGTTTCTTCACTTCACGGACAACGATCCTCGATCTGTAGTTTGGGTGTTCTCTGTCACCCTTTTTCTGTCTATCCATTTCAGTGTTATTGGCCCCTTTCCCGTTCTTTGCCAACATTCTTCAACTGTTCTCTTTTCGTACACCTTTGCACGGTGTAACCATTGTAGTTCTTCTTGTCTCGCTGCTAAGACTCCTTGTGTGTCCAACTGTGCTCCAGTGATGTCATCGAAGAACATCTGATCTTCATGGTCTTCCTTCTCGTGCATATTTTTCCCTGGTACAAAGTCCTCTTCGCATTCTTCCAGGTTCATGTCTTCATCTGGACTGGGTCCAGCTTTCACTGAATGTACTTCTCGGTATTCATCAGCTTTCATTTGTCTCTTGAGTGCTCTAAGCACTGCTCGAACTAGAGCTGGAGGGTATATTCGGGCTATCTTTGCTCGTCCGTTCACTCGGTGGATGTGGCGATGCCGCTCATGCTTTCCGCCAGGTAGGTCATTTGTACACACTCCACGCAATGTCTCTGCCAACTCTGGCGAGTTGGTCATCCAACACGTGGGTTTCCGGATGTATCCTTCTCCGAAAACATCTCTTCCTGCCATCTTCCACCTACACATTGGTCCTTCTACAATCTCTATACTCGGCATCCCACCGATTTCTTCGGATGCACTCTTCTTTCCACGACTTTGCTGACTTCGGATGTTCATGTAGGAAATACTTCCCTTTCTTGATCCTTTGTTTGTAGATCGAACATGATGTTTCCAACATCTCTTTTCCTTCTTTCAATCTTGCTTGGAATTTCCCTGGGTCCGTTCTTCCTTGGGTTCAATCCCTGTAAAATCGAAAATTGGTCACAAGGCGGGCTTCCTGTAGTCAGGTACGGACCCTCTTCATCCAGGATCTTCTCAAGACATTTCACCTGTGTTTTGTCCGTCAAGTCCCAACCTGTTTCCAAATCAACTGCGTATCCAGGAAGTAACCCGACTGCTTTGCACTTCTCTGTGAATCTTGGTGGTGAAAATATTTCCGTCACATCATGCGCTCCCAATGCATTCAGTTCTGTCTTTGTAGGATCATCAACTTGCGACTCCACTCCAATGTGAAACAATGACTGGATGTCTTGTTCTGGATCTTGTCTCCGAATCTCCGGTTGCGGTACAACTGGTGACCAAAACTGGTCGCGACTGAGAGTCGAACCTGGCGCTGCTGATCCCAACGCGGCTCCCTCTGCTGAAGCAGCAGGGGGCTCCGACTGGATCTCTGCTGAACCTCCGGTTGAAATAACCACAAGGGCTCTGCACTTCCTTCGGCTTCATGGATCGTCCACTGATTCACCTACCCTCTTTTCACCTTTGTTGGGTTTCGCTCTTGCTTTCTTTCCAGGCTCTCCTCTTTCCACTCCTTCTTGGTTTCTCTTGGGGCTGGTGACCATTTCTTCCTCGGGTTGTCTCAAGGCTACCGACGATCTCACCTCTTGTTCCGTCGGATCTGGCAATCCTGATACTTCGTCTTTCGCCTTCTTCGTCTTTCCTTCTTCCTGTCTTTTCTCAACATCGGCCAATCTCTTTTGACCTTCTTCGGTGCCTTTCAACCTTTCCATCAGCCCGTTTCTACAGGTCATGTTGTGGGTAACCGATGGTAGTCCGACCATCAACGCCTCACACCCTTTGCAGCCAGATGTGTGGTCATACGTGCCATCCTCTTTCTCCAGGCCTTTCTTTTTTACATACAACTGCCTTGGTCCTCCATCTCTCACAGCAGGAGTCCGCCTTTGTGTGGCTTCTGGCAATGCTATGTACAACCTGTGTTCTAGATCTCCCGCGTCCGCTGGACGAAGCAGTCAGGGGGCGCCTTTAAGATCCTTCAGCTCAGAACGATCCCATCATTCTGTCTCCGGTCTCCTATGCGCCGTATTTCCTTTGACCACTCCTTGGGTTGTCATGACCAGCACGTCTGCATTTCTCACACGCGTTCCCACGGTAGTATCCGCTCATCACTCTTCTTCCAAGATCGCCACTTTTCCTTTCACCTGTTGCCCCATCATCTACTTTGTATCATGTTCCTTTTCCAATTGCTTTTGCACAAATTTGATGAAGTTGTCTTTGGGCCTTGGACATTGGAAGTCAGTTTTGGAGCAGCAACGTGTGTCTGCAGCTCGCAGTGGAGCTGCTGCATCAAGGTTCCTTGGTGCCACGCCTGCACGCGTAGTTCCACGGTTACATGGTGTTCCGCAACTGTCAAATCGCATAGGAATGACTGCACCAAGGCTCTCTCTATGATATGTTTGGTGATGTTATTTCAATTTCGTGTCTAAAGCTGAGTAGATAGACCGGGGAGAAGCAAATGGCAAATGCAAGAGATGTCGCGAAAGAGAGATGCCAACAAAACTTATGTGTCACGGGAAAGAAGCATTGAGAGAAAGATGTGTCAGCAAACAAGAATGTCGAGAGGACAAAGATGCCGAGTAGTAGAGACACAGAGAGACAGAGAGAGAGAGAAAGAGAGAGAGAGAGAGATCAAAAGAAGGAGCTGTCAGGGAAAAGGACCGTCGAAGAAAAACAGAGATGTCTTGCTTGTACAAAAAGCGTTTACTGAAACACGGCATGCAAAATGTCTCGCCCGCACTCCCAGGGTCCTAGAGGAAAGCAACCTCCTACTGGAAACTCCCGCCTGCAGGCCCTTCTTGTAGAGATACATTTACTTGCAGCAACATTAAGTTCTTTTCGCAAGCAGCCTTTTGTGGAGCAAAAAAATATGACTCCAGCGAGACAAGTTTGATATTCTAGGATATCCGCGCAATGCTGTCGGTAGAGGTTACAGAGCCGATGTGTATCTGCGCAATGCTTTCTGGCAGAGAAGAAGCGTAGAATTTAGAGTAATTAGAGCAGAGCAGAGAAGAGCAGAGCGGAGCAGAGTAGAGAAGATCCGAGAAAGAGTAGAGAAGAGCAGGCAAGAGTAGAGCAGAGTAAAGCAAAGGAGGGGAGAATAGAGTGGAGAAGAGGAGGAAGTTGCGAGCAGAGAAGAGCGCAACGGAGCAGAGAAAAAGAACAAAAGAGCAGTGGAGAAGAGTAGAGGTGAGAAAGCTATGGCAAGGTCAAGAGAAAGAAATGATGAGATATCATACTCTTCAAAGGGAGATGATGTCAAGAGAAAGAAAGAAAAAGAGGTGCTAGAAAAGAAAGAGACACCTAAAAAGCCAAGAGCAAGAGATGGAAAAAGAAAGAGATGCCGTGAAAAGAGATGTGAAGAACAAGAGACAGCAACAGAAAGAGATGTCACGCAACGGAGCTGTCATTTAAACCCGGTCTTGCACAGATCCTGCAAACGCCCTGTAGGTATTGAACCCCTGAAACTTGTGCCCACGGCTTGCCCGGCTACGACTTGTATGCAAGTCTTCTGTTCTTGGCGCACTGGATGTGCGCAACTCCCCATGATGCGCCTCCGCCAAAATGTCCATGCAGGGTTTCAACTGCCGCCAATCAGACAACAGAACGTAGAAGCCGCATTGGTTGCCGCTTATGGCGGAACCTGGTGTTCCTCGTCCTGAAGAATTGAGATTGGGCCTATGACCGGCCGTGCGGCCATGTCAATGCTATGGCCTGCAACATCCTGCAACCATTTTGTTACAAGTCTGTTCAAACATCGTTTATCACCAAGCACCCGCAGTCCTGATGGTGCATCTGGCTTCCCTGAATGGTCATCCTCGCCAATTTCCAAGGCACAAATCATCGTAGCACATGGTGGAATACGTAAACCTTTGGTTCACCTTCGAAGGACATCAAGACACTAAGAAGATCTAAGAAGCCCAAACCATCTGCCCTACCATGCTCGGCTTCCAGTTGCAGCTCACTTGGGGCTGACCAACTTTGCATAAAAGTCCTGCTGATTTACTAGGGAACAAATCTGTCAAGTCATTTCATTTCATTTCATGTCTTGCGCCCTGCGTGCCCGTAATGGCACCTCGACGCAAAGTTCTTTGCAATTTACGGAGGTAGTTTGGTGATGTGAAAATAAGCAGAAAGCCGGAATCAAAAGGGCAACGGGACAAGGATGGCAAAGAAAATTTCCACTTTGCAGGCTATGGCTATAGCAGCGAACCCGGTAGAAAAAACAAAGCAACACCATATTAGCAAAGTTGTAGAAATTTTAATGGAAACCAAATACATTCCTGAACGACCTTACACATAGCTGACGTAGCGACTAGGACAGGGGGATCATCATCTTCTCTACAGCATGTGAAAACCGAACGAATCGGTCTGTCTCGGTGAATCCGATGAATTCTTTAGATGTGATGGCTTCAATCTGCTTCAATCTGCTTCAATCTGCTTCGTATTTCAATGTAGTGTGTGTTGTCCGCCGTTCTTCATGCCTTCATGGTTCTAGGTTTCTGCCTACCCTCAAAGATCTATCTATTGCGTAGGACTGCAAATACGAAACCTGGAAGCGAGTCCGAGAAAAACAATGTGCTGCTTTCCAACTATATATGTATATATATATATATATTTGAGAAAAATATAAAACCATGCGACATGCCTGCCATCGGCCCCGCATGTGCATGCAGGACAAAGGGCTGCAAATCTCTCACTCACTGGAATGTCTCGTTGCGTCTCTGGCTCAGCTCTTCACCAGCCACAGCTTGAACTTGCCCGCAGTCTTCTGACCTGAAACAACTCAAAAGGACCAAAATAGTTAAAAGGGCCAAAAACACGAGTTGCAACAAGGCACACCTCAGCAAACCCAAGCGTCGATCACATACCCATCATGTCACACATCACACAATGCTCGCACAGATTTTGCGCAATGTCGGCAGGTTTTGGGGCGGCTACAAATGAGTTCGCCCTCGAAGCGTGACCTCACATCACAGAACGGCGGCAGCACACACACACAGACGCACTATGATATAAAGCAGAAAACAGGACTCTGCGAAATGAAAATAACGAAAGACCTGTAGATTCAGTGACTGCTCTCGCCGTGATACGCGCGGGCTGCATGCAGTATGCGTATGCACACTCTCTTTCCATCTCTTTCCATCTCTTTCCCCTCTTGACAACTCTTTTCATCACAGTCGGCAGGTCGCCAGAACTCTGAGCTTCCTCGCATGATGAGTTGCAGCTGTGCGCGCAGCATTGCCGCGTCGTGTTTGTGGCAGCGCTCATGGCACCACACAGCCTGAAATGCGGTGCCACGGGTGCCGACGGCACTGGCGCTGGCAGGTGCAGACCTGGGCTGCGTCATGGAGGTGGAGGTGGTCCAACGCCGAAACATTCGAAGATTTCGCCCAAAGACGTAAGGAGGAAACATTGGGCTTAAAGTACCCGCTAAGAGAAACAACAGCGCAGAAGCAAAGAGCACATTTGTGATTCGAATCTCAGCATATGTTGGATTATCTATCTCAGCATATGTTGGATTATCTTGGCACACTTTCGCACTGGAAAACAATGGAAAGCGCCACCAAGACACTTTGCGACGCTCGCCTCAGTGTAGAAACTTGGAAGGAAAGTTTCAAGTCAATTACAGAGTGCTCCACTGTTGCTGCATCTACGTCTGCAAGCATTATCTCAATGTTTTGGCCATGGTGCAGAGTTCACCCGAATGGCTGTGCAGGGGTCCATAGCGAAGGAGGCTGGCGCTGGCGCCTCTGCTTTGGGCACAGCCACGGATCTCCAAACAGATCCCATCGCTTTTGCCGCCATGGAGAGCCCTGCAACTGCAGTAACTGCAGATTCATGAATCACAAAGATTATAAGAGACTTGTGAATTACAAAGGTTTCCAAAAATTCTTTGAGGCACTCGGCATCATTGGGCAATGGCTGCCGAGGAATGAAAAAACAATCATGCAAAAACTCACGGGCACATCATGTTCGCATTTCTGGCTTGGCAAGGGCAAATCATTATTGGAAGGCCGAGTTGAAGAGCCAGAGGTTGCCCAAAAATTGGACTCGTTGCTGTCTCCAGCGGCTTTCGTGAAAATAAGGTGGCATGAAACGACATGGGGCGACCCGTTCTCCTGCACTGCCCCAAGGGTAGCCACCCTTTGCACCTTTGGCCTTGGTGAAATTGAAATAAACTGAACATGTATGAACATGTCTGATCAAACACGCGCACATTGTTGATCCAAGCCTGTGGGTTTACCTCTTCACCTGCATCCAGCGTAGCGAAGAAATCCTGAATCAGCGCAAGCCGAGTAGCGACACTCAGTGATGATGTCTGATGCCAACGCGCCAATTTGTGTGATCACAACATGGAGACAACAAGGGCATCCTCCTGCCTCCTGCTGTCGAAAGTAGTCAAGGTTGTGGAAATTGTGCCCAAAACTCTGGAAAGAACCCGAAGCACTCTGTCCGGACTCCTGTATACACAGGTCCAAGCATCAGTTCATGACGAGTTTCTCTGGAGAAAGCAGTTTCTTGAAAATAAAAACATCCGCAAGTACAGTGAGCTAAGTACAACAAGGTACGACATGATACAACTACAACATTTCTGGTGTTCATGCTTTGTCCAAACATTTTGGTTTCTATAATATGGCTTGAAAAACCTCTGGTGAAAGCCTGGCAAGGCAAGATTGTCAATGTCATTGAGTCATTGATCAACGAAGAACAGTTGAAAAAACGCTCTGCCTGTCTTCCTGGCCACGGTATGCTTGGTATGTTTCACAGCCTTTCACAACATGATTTGCACATGCTGCGCGCACTGTGCTGCAGAATTTGTGGCAAGCTTTGATTCCCATGGTCCTGCAATTGGCTGTTGTCGCTAGGCCAAAACCTGGCCGCAAAGGACGAGCCTGGTGGGGAAATTGGAGAACTGACCCAAAGAACTCGTAACACGGATACGGAATCATACGCGTTTAGAGGATTGGGAGTAGGTCTTCTGGACCAAGGAATCTGAAATACAAGTTTTGAATCCTGGAGGAATATGGGCACGTAGCTTTCAGTTTCAAGAAGCAGGAGAGAAATCTCGCCAACGTATGCCATGGGTGGGTTTCTCCGAAGAGTGCTTCAAAAAACAAATCGTTCTCGGTGCTGCCACGTAACTTAATTTCATCCAAGTGCCTCCTTGTGGCAGAAAAATGGAAAGTCTAACGCCATTTTTGCAAATATTTTTGAGCTGCCTTCCCACACGAAAGAGGATACTGAGAATGAGGGTGGGAATGCACATAATGATGAGGACGAGGACAGGTGGATGGTGGGAATGTTCACGGTGATGATGGTGATGATGGTGATGATGGCGATGGCGGTGGTGATGGTGCTGATGATGATGGTGATGATGATGGTGATGGTGGTGGTGATGATCACGGTGATTGTGGTGATGGTGACGGTGATGTTGATAGTAGTGATCAAAGTGGTAATGATGAAAATGAGGAGGAAGAGGATGAGGATGAGGAGGATGAGGAGAAGGATGATATGATGCGGTGCTGCTGAATGAGCGGCTATCGTCGGTGTGGGTTCGCACTCCTTATTAACATGGTCTGTTTGAATGGAAGGGGGGCAAGAATGGCATTTCAGGCCTTCGCGTGGTGCCTTCACCTTACAGTCTCAACTATCTTAGTTTAATTCGCTCATGTCTTCGGCATTTTCCATCTTCTGGCCCTTCACGTACAAAGGTTTCTCCGCGCATGGCCAACACTGGCCAAACACGTCGTTCTTGCAACATGAACCAGGGCAATTCATCCTGTGAGTTTTCTGTCGTTTCCACTCATAGATTTTCCTATCGCTGATATTTTCCGGTTTCATTCTGGTTTAGCATAATCCTATGGCTTAGCATAATCCTCCAGAAAAAATGATGGTTAACGATGGTTAATAATGCTTAATGATGGTTAATAATGCTTAATGATGGTTAATAATGGTTTCGTCTTGTCGTTCACAGAGTGACAGTTTTCTCGAAATGCGCCTCGAGGTGGGAATGCCAGGGCTGGCACTCGACCTTGCAACATCTGAGGCAACATCTGAGGCAACAATCACGATATGAATTGACGAGTATCGATATGTCATGGTAACACGGTATGCCAGGATACTTGCCATGAAACAATCACATTCACCCGGCATAATTTGGAGAATGCCCTGAATTCTATGCGTTTTTTAACAATGCCGCTTGTCCAGCGTTCTTGACGTTCTTGTCAACATTTGACGTCACTTGTTTCAACATGTTTCAACACGTTCGACGCGTTGTGTCGTTTTGTCTCGTGCTGGATTTCTGAGTCCAAGGCCTGTCTCCGACCTGACCGGATGTGTGCCAGGATGTCCCCCGTTGAATTGCCAACAATCCAAGCTGCATCAAGCTGTAGAGCGCAGGTAGCATGAAATCGAATGCTCCGGGAATGCTCTAGGAATGCTCTAGACATCTCTACACAATCCAAAATTCGGAAGAAAATCATGCATCTGGGAAAGGCAGACAATGTTTCACACGTATTGAAACATCACAAACATTAAACAACATCATGAAAATCATGAAACATCAAGAGGTATAATAGACATTAATCAACCATAATGAAACATCATGAGGCATCAAAAAACATCACAAAAGTCAAAAGACAACAAACAATATCACAAAGCCTCAAATAAAACGGCAAATGACATCAAAAAATCCAAAAACAACAAAAAACGTCAAAAGACATCAAACAGCATCATGAAACATCAGGCGACATAAACAACATGAAACAACAACGCACCTGAGAAGGATGTAAACAAAGCCAAAGTAGGTGATTGGGGAGTAGATTCTCATCTCATTCTTTGTGTGTCTAAACGGTCTCAGAAGGTACCCGAATTCTCATCTCCGTTTTTGTGTGCTTTATATATAAATAAATGGTGTCAGAAGGCAGGGATATTGAAAATACCTAAGCTCTCCTCTCCGTTTTTGTACATCTAAGTGGGCTCAACAGGCAGGCTTATTGAATATACCTGGGCTTTCATTTCCGTTTGTTTGTGTCGAAATGGCGTCAGAAGGCTCTGATCTCCGTTGTGCAAAATGGTTGGTTAGTCCATCTTATACCGAAACTCCTCTCACGGCCAGCTGAGGTAAAGGTTAACATGGATCGGCACCCTGAAACAAAAGAAGCCTCGTTTGCGACCCCAAGAGCCGGACCAGGGGGGGAAGAAAGGCAGGTAAGGAAGAGGTAAATTGGCGTCTACAGGGTTCAGGAGGCAAGTATATTGAATATACCTGGGTTCTCATCTCCGCTCTTGTGCAAAGTTGTTAATTAATAGGTTTGTTCATTTCCTTGTAAACTCCTTTCACGGCTAGCTGAGGTAAAGGTATGGTAAAGGTTAATGGACCGTCGGCAAACTGAAACGACGCGCAAAAGGAAGCCTTGTTTACGACCCTGAGGGCCACACCAGGGGGGAATCGATACCCCACCGTCACTTAATTGCCGCACCGTACAGGACCCTCAAAACGTGCTATGTTCACAATTTTCACTTCAGCCTAGCCTGCCGGGTGGCTTTCGTAAGCTCAAACAACATAAACATCAAAAGACATCAAATACCAGAATAAGATCATGAAGCATCATGACACATCATAATACATGAAAAAAAATAAAATGATAAGAAACTAGAATCATCATAAGACACCCGTTGAGACACCGTCATCTCATTGTTTCCATTCCGAAGGTTACGCTTTGCGTTATGGAAAAAACCGAGTCGGAGTCTCGTGGCAGATGGTCTTCCATGATCTCCCCCGCCTCCTGGCGACCTGGTGAAAAAGCAATGCATTACACAAAACTCGGGTCATAGCTGATGTCATAACCTTTGTCCTTGTATTATGTCCTTGAAGTCGCTGAAACATATGGGTTAAAGATGCTTAAACAACTTCAATACAGTTGAGCACTGAGAGACGTTGAGAAATATTGAGAACAGGTCGGGTCAAGTTATGCAACGGGTACAATGGGAACACGTTTGAAATCTGCGGAGTTAACCGTGTTACGTTACTTTTTTGCTGAACAATTTTGAGGCGCTGCGCGGTGTTGCGCCTGCCATCCCTTCAAACGGCAACCGCCGCGCAACGCCGCGTAGGTGGAAAAATCATCTGGAGCCATGCGGCACAGCGGCACATTTTTTTGACGTGTCGCTGGTGACTCCAATCGGCCCATGACCTGGAGACATCTTGCATCACATCGTAATCTTCCATAAATTCCA